ATCCTGATTCATCATTCAAATAACTAAAGCTGAAAACAGCCACTAATTCAGATTCAGTTGGGTATGTCAATATCAACTAATATTCACACAGTGCTTCAGAATTTATGAAGTGCTTTCATACATATATATCATATAAATACAGATCAATACAGTCATCCCTCGGTATCTGTGGAGGATTGGTCCAGGACCCCCTACAGACACCAAAATCTAAGGATGCTCAAGTCCTTTATATAAAATGGCATAGTATTTGCAGTTAACCTACGCACATCCTTCCATATACTTTGAGTCATCTCTAGATTATTTATAATCCCTACTACAATGTAAATGCTATGTAAATAGTTGTTATGCTGTATTGTTTAGGGAATAATGACAAGAAAAAACACTCTGTACATGTTCGGTAGAGATGCCCATGGTAGGCCTAAGTACATAGTACACACCAGCAACAATGTAACATTGTTTTTTTTCCAAATATTTTTGATCCCAGGTTGGCTGAATCCATGAAAGCAGAACCTGTGGATATGGAGGCCAACACGTGTGTGTGTGTGTGTGTGTGTGTGTGTGTCTAGATATACTTATCTTCCTATAAAATTATTATATTAAACTGCTTTGCAAACTGTGAAAACCTCGATAAAGGTTAGTAATCTAGCAATACAGATTTACTATTATTCATCTACTAATATTACAGCAATAATAATAATAAGCCTTATGAGGCAGGACTTTTTACCCCCTTTCAACAGATAAGGATACTGAGGCTCAGAGAGGAGAAGTGACTGGTCCATGGTCACACAGCCAGCTGAAATACATTCAGTACTGAAACTTGTATCTTCTGACTTGAAATTCTGGATACTTTTTACTATATCATGCTGCTTCTGTGTAATGTTTACCTTTTTAAAAAATATATGTTTTTAACTGATTTCAGAGAGAGGAAGAGAGAGGGAGAGAGAGAAAAAAACATCAATGATGAGAGAGTCATTGATCAGCTGCCTCCTACATGTCCCCTACTGAGGATCAAGCCCAAAACCTGGGCATGTGCCTGACTTGAAATCAAACCGTGACCTCCTGGTTCACAGGGGAACACTCAACCACTGAGCCACACTGACCAGAATGATGTTTATTTTTAAAGGCATAATTCTCAAAGATCGAAAGAAAAAGTGAAAGGACTGGTCTATTGTTGGATACAGAACTGTCATTTCCAAGGCTTAGGGAAGACCAATCCCATATTCTTGCACAACCCAGTAAACTAAGCTAAAGATCACAAAGAAAACAAAAAGGGGATTCATTACAATACAGGCTAAGAAGTGAAACCAATTTTAGTAACTTTAAACTAGGCACATAAGAAAAACTTCTCACATTATAGCATTTTCAGTATTTCTTTAAAATACTGCACTTTGGTCCACATAACCACAAGCATCACTTTCCAGTTCATGTCAGAACTGTCCCTCCCTCAAATATATACACCAGAGATCCTTTGAGTCATGATGCTTATAAAAACTACCTTAGGTTGTAAGTTTCTAGGGACTTTTAATTAAATTCACGAACAGCCGATTTTATGGACACATCTGGCAGTGCCATGAAACTAAAAGTCTCCTGTCCAGTCACAGCACAGACTGAGTCTTCATTAAACCTCAAAGCAGAATCTTAGGAGGCTGTCTGTACTTCAGATGTTCCCCAAAACAGGTCCAAAGTACAAGTATTTAGTAATTCTTTTCCTAAGACAGCATACTTATCACAGGACTTAAGCTACAAGTTTGCCAATTACAGCTTGAGAAAACAGACACCCAGCAAATCTTTAGCATATTCACTGGCAGATAAAAGGCATTAATTATAATCTTAACATACACACAAGGTTTCCGTGTAAGTGAGAATGCAATCAAAGCTGCAAGTATTCAAGTATTTTTTTTCCTTGAAATATAGATCCCACTAACAGAAGTAAAAGCAACAAAGTACACTGCAAGGTATGAAACTTTTCACTGAAAATGGATTGAAAGAAATAATTCTGAGTATTGAATAGCTTTCGGTCAATAAGAGGCACAGGAGCAGAATAATTCTGACTTCTGCACCAGGAAGCAGTGTCCCATTGTGAATGAGAACACGTGCACTGGGATCAACCAGGTAGGAGCTCAGTCCCTGCTCCTTCTACTTACTAGCCATGTGATTCTGGGAAAGTTATTTAACCCTGATAAGCCTCAATGTCTTCATCTATAAAACAGGAATAATATAACCTACCTCAAAAAATTATTTAAAGTATTAAATTAAAAAATGTTTGAGATGTACTCACTGCAATACCTGGAAAAGTAAGTATTCAGTGAGACACAGCTACTTATTAACAGCCTTTTAAGACTGTAGGTTATTTAAATAAACCAGAACAATTTCAACAACTACTTACTTTTGCCAGCAAAACAACACAAACTCTGAGATATTAAGTAAGGTACCTGGTCTTAAAAGGGACTTCAAACCCAAATCATTAGCCCTGGCCAGCGTGGCTCAGCTGGTTGAGCACTGTCCCATGCACCAAAAGGTCGCCAGTTCGATTCCCCATCAGGGCCATGCTAGGGTTGTGGGTTTGATTCCTGGTCAGGGTATGTATGGGAGGCAAGGGATCAGTGTTTTTCTCTCTCCCTCTCTCTAAAGTCAATACAAACATATTTTTTAAAAACACCCAATCATTAATGATCATAATGTAATTTTAAAAGATGCTCCGTTTTGCAAACCATTGATGGTGAGAACAAGAGTCTTTGCTCTCTTTCTAATCACACACACTCTTCTCTCCTATACCATCAAAACAGTCTTAGGATTAAAGAGCTATCGTCTTATTTAAATGTTTTACTTTTAATAAGACATTTCCCAGCAGAGGCTGAATCAACATTAAGAGAATCAAAGCAAATAGGAAAATGTAAAATTGATGATTATATCTTTTTCAATGTCAAGGATAATCAGAAGGCAAAAAACGGGGAGGGAGCAAACTGTTCAAGTGACAAATATCTAACTTTTAATATCCTCTATTATAAATTATCTTAGTTGTATTGGAAGACAGATAAAACCTTTAAACCACAGCTGTTATGGGTTTTCCTAGACTCTTTTTTCCCCCTAGACTCAAAGATTTGGAATTTTTTTTCAAATCTTTCAAAATTAAGTGCCTACTTCAATTCTTATACTCAATAAAATAAAACATTCTAACTGCAATAATTAAAGTTGTTTCTGCTTTGAGACTAAAACATTGCCCAGGACTTTAAACACTATTAAAATTATAAAGTATCTGAGAAATAAATTTACTGACTGAATAAAATGATAAAAAGCAGAAATAATAAGACTAGGAGCTTCCAAAAAGAAGTCAGGATTTAGGATGTCAAAGAATTAAGCTCCTCAAAAAATTAAGCTCAAAACAAAATAATAAAATAAGACAAAGCTTTTTAAAGTATAAAATAAAAACAACAACATATTCTTGGAAGATAAGTGTATTAACCCAGTGGGCATATTCAAAAACGACAAAGAGCGTACAACAATATCAACCAAAGAAACAATTTTTGTGTTTGACTGAAAAACATAGGATAGAGTCCTTTGACCAACCTCTCATACAGCCAAGGTTGTATTTCAAATTGTTTATTTGAATTTAATTAAACAGTGAACTATTAGTAGATTCCATTAAACACAAGATCCAATTTCTCTACACTGCGCTTTTTGATAATTTAGAAATCACAAGGTAGAATATCATGTGACATTGGTAAACTTCTAGACAAGGCATTATAGCAATAGTACATACGGAGCACTGTTACATTCCCAGCTTGATGATCACAGCTCTATATAAAATCTTAACTGATGATATCTCACACCAAGTTCATGCATCATACTAAATTAAAGGTTCAGAGCTTTCAAATTATCAGCAAATCCTCTCCATTCAATTTTAAGGAAGAAGAAGGGGGAGAGACACCAAAGTTTGGCTTCCAAATATCTTTTCACTTTTTAGAATGAATGTTAGAATGTTTTCCCTTTAAGAAATATTAGCATAAAGTAGGCGCTTAATTAAATATGCATTTCAGACATTGCGTAACTAGAAAAAGTGATGCAATCATCCTGCAAATATGTACTGGACACCTACTCAATACAGGTCACTATTCAACATGGACACTATTCAACATAGGCAGCTATGAAGGAGGCATAAAAAACAGTTCTGTTTTCAGGGAGTTTTCTAATAAACTCAGGAGATCAAAATTTAATGTGACACTGTAAGGCAATAAATGATTAAGTTCTAATTAAGAAGTTAAAACCAAATTTTGTATGCCACATTTTCTCTCTTGACTTCTTGCTTGATTCTATAAACCTCAAAGGCTGTGTAGCAGTTTACACTATTGGTACATATTCTTTATGCTAAAAAGATTCAAGATTTTAATTTTCCAAACACGAATCTAAAAATTATAAAATCATAACTAAATGATATCTCAGTTTAGGGAGTTTCTTATCTTCTGTTGAGATTACACATGGCTAACACTGAAAAGCCTGACAATACTAAGTGTTGCTGAGGCTAAAGAACAAGCAGAACTCCCCACACACTGCTAATGGGAATGCAACCCAGCAAACACTTGTATCTTGCATCTTATAGCTCACCTACTGCAAACCTCTGCAATATAGCCTCATCTTCAGATTTCCTGATCATAACTCCCACTACTGAAAGTCACACCAATAGTAATGGGCTGATCACTGTGTAAGTTATATAGCTGTCTGATCACAATATTGTACCCTTGACACTATCATAATATCGCATGTCAATAAATAAATAAATCTGTTCCAGGCTCAAACTGTAAAATAGATAAAATAATCTCAACAGAAGAACAAACTTAATAAGATGGTGATATTTGCTCCAGCAATTAGACTATGCTACCTTTAGAAAGTCATTTTTTTATACATTTCCTTTTAATTATATTACTTGATATTATGTCAGTGAACTTTATATTAAAAAGAAAAGAATGGTAAAGAAAAAAAAAGAGAGAAAAAGAAAAACTTACTGGGATTGAAAATTCCTCAGCCAGATATTTCAAGGAGGCTGCTTCTCTCGCCAAGAACTTGTTCCTTTCTCTCATGTTGCCCTGAAGTTGTGCATCAAACTCCTTTCTTACCACAGAAGCAACAGAGTCAATAATCACAAGTTTAACTCCTTTTGAAATAATTTCTTCTTCTATGGATTCAATCCTGTAAAAGTAGAATTTGTAAAATAGTAGAAAAGTTTAAGATATAATAAAAAAAAATAGGGCATAGCAAAGGTTCACCAACTTAAAAGCAACAAATTGTTCTTTCCTAAGTTATAGTGATGATTGCAAGTATTCAATAAGCGTAACTTATTTTCATATATCTCTTCTACACTATGGCACTCTTTTGGAAATAAACCAAAATATTTTCATTCATTAGTTCTCCTTCGATATTGCTAAAGTTCCAATTTTAGGGTAAAATTCCATGTGGTAGCCAGTCTCCAAAATAGCCCCCATTTGCTCCCATCGTCTGGTATTTACACTCCACAGAGTCTCTTCCACATAGTATTAGAGTTGGTCTGTGTGACTAATAGCATATGACAAAATGATGGTACGTCACTTCTCAGAGCAGACTAGAAGGTGCCGCTTCCATCGTGGACTCTCTCTCACCTATCCACTCTCTCTCAGACCACTTGCTCTGGGGGAGGCGAGTAACTGTGTTGTAAACAGCCCTGTGGAGAGACCCACATGGTGGGGAACAGAGGCCTCTGGCTAAGGTCCGGAAAGGAAGGGAGGCCTTCCAGCAACTGCATGACTGACCTTGGAATTCTCCAAGTTCTCCAGCCCCAAGAGCCTTGAGATAACTACAGCCCTGGTCAACAGTTTGACTGCAAGCTCTTACGTAACCAGGAGCCAGAAATACCTAGCTAAGCCACTCCCAGGCACCTAACCCTCAAAACTATGTGAGGCAATATATGTTTTCTGTTTTAAGCTGCTAATGAAACAACAGATAATTAATATACCACTTAATTAATTATATATAAAACATTTTATTCAGATGTGTGTGTTTTTTCATTTTTAAAGAAATACTTCGACTAATAGGCCATAGTGAATGAAGAAGAACACAGAAATAATTATTGCCCATAAACCTAATATGTAGGGACTTTTTTTCACTCAGGAACTAAAAACATCCAAAAAAACCAAAATACAAATCTTCAAAGTACTACGAAAATACCAAAATCTAAAGCAGCATACCTTTGTAGAACCTCATCACAGCTAAGTTCCCGATAAAGATGAACTTTACTGCTTGTCAAAAGTAATTTTTCTTCAGTGTTAAAATATCCAGGGAAACGAGATTCTGCTATCTCAACCAGTCTATGGGGGGGGGAAATAGCATAAGTGAAAACAGTCAATATTTAAGGCCATGTTGCTGAACCTCTAATGAACTTTACTTAGGAAACTCATAAGCCACAAGGAACACTAGAACAAAAGCCGTATCAATAGAGCAGGTATAAGCAAACTGGCTTGATATACAAGCTTGAAATGTAAGCCCTGCTTTATAAGCACTAAGACAGGCTAGCAGACAGAGCATGAGACCAGCAAGGGCTTTCAGATCGCATCTAATGCTCAGCAAGCAACAATGCCTCTCAAGTTTCTCTTTCTGGGAATAATTTTTTTTCATAATTGATATTTTGACTAGTAGCTATAATATATGTTTAATAAATGAGCAAAATGCCTGCATTTTCATGAATGAAATATATTTGAACAAAGATAGAATATTATTCTAATAATCAAATATCAGTAAGTCTCCATGTCTCAGACCTAAAAGATATGCTTTGTCCATTAAAACTTAATACATACAAAATAAATGCTATCCAGTAGGTACTTGGTAAACAGAAAATTATTTTCTACACAAATGAATGTTGTCCTATATGCCCTTAGTAAATAAAAAAAATGATTTTCTAAACACTGAATTCTGACCTCAAATCTAGTTCTAATGCATGAGGTAGGCCAAGCATGGGAGAGTGACAAATTGAAACAGATGCAACTACCATAACTAATGGTACAAGACATGGAGAACAGTATTAGAAATTTCAAATATTTCTGGCTAAAAATTTAAAAGTATAAAACTTTGAGTATAACTGTCTCCTATTTAAATGATACTTTATCAGCCCCATACTTAACCATCACCCAAAGGCGACTGAGAAAAAGGCCTGGAAACACAAAAACCATCCCATATTTTATGTTCCATTTAAAGACACAAAAAACAAAGGAACAGTGTTTTCATTTCTAGATAGTTAATGAGTTCCAAGAGGAGGCTGAGAACTTTAAATAGATAAACATAAGCTGCTCACATACACTATAATCAGAAATGAAAGAGAAAAATCTAAAACAGGGAGAGAGAAACATTAAAGAAAACTAGGCAATAACATTTTTAAAGCATATTTTGAACAATCTGAAAAGAAATAAGCATCATTAGGTTGAACAGGAAGAGGAGAAGTTATTTTAGGAGTGAAGAATAGTACTAACAGGTGGGTGAAGAGTGAGACGACATGGATCAAACGACTGGTCAAGAGACGTCCCTAAGAAAGGCACAGGAATGGGGGGGAAGGGAAACGAGGTAAGTGATAAAGCAAGAATAGACGGCAGCAGCAAAGGCAGGACAGGTATACTTGCAGGGCTTGGGAAATGTGTCAATGTTTTGATTAGGATAGTTATTTGATTAGGAATTTAGTGCTAGTCAGAGAAATCAGCTAAAAATCTCTGGCTCTTGGAACCCAGTGATTTTTAATAGAATAGGAATGACAACATCCATCAGAAACATAGAAGTTTTTCAAAATTTGGGTGCCCAGTTGATTAGGAACCAGATTGAGAGAGTACCTAACTCCTTGGCAACAACTGAATAGCTGACAGACAATAATTTTCTGCCTCCAGCACTAGGTTGGATTTCAACTAGTGGCTTAAGTGGTGAAAGGCTCTGGAACTTATTACCACTCTCTCATTCCATGAATGTCCCCCGGGAGGAAGGTGGCCACAGCATGGATGTGAGCTAACTTCATGCAGAGTTATCATGCTCTCTTCCTTCCCCAAGGTTTTGGTGGAGAGCAGGGTCGGTGGTAATATCTCTAACACCATGAAATACAGAAGCCACAGCTCTTGCCGATGACAAAATTTACTTCTAGATATTACTCCATTACTAGGCAATGGGAGTATTTTCTTTCTTTCCATCCTAAAAATGCACAATTTATCTGGTTTAGTATGAAATAAACTAAAAGAGCCTTACTGACTTTAATAACCATTAGAAATGGCAGGAGGGAAATAAAATCATACAGGGTTTTTGCCAAAAGGTTCAACGGGATGGTGGTGCCTTTAAGGTCAAGCTTAATGAGCTTAGACTAATTTAGGGTCAATAACCTGACAAACTTAGGAACTGTGCACAGAGATAAAAATAATAACTATAGTTACCAGACTAAAGAATTGTATCAAATGGTTATTTACATACCAATATGCTAAGTTTCTCTAAATGTTTTTTTCTTATTTTAGAAAAGATATCTAAAAATATATAAATCAAAAACCAAATATGAATGTAGCTTTCTATATGCCTCACATTAATCATAGCAATTTCTCATGATAATTTTCATCACAAAGATCTGTTTTGTTTGGAGCAAGCAACAGAAAAGAACCTATCTTTTTTGACCCAGACATTAATTACATAAAGTTTGAAAGCAATGCCATCTAGTGGACATCTTTTTTATATAAAGTATTCCTTTCAAAGGATGCACTTAAGATTCACTCATTCAACAAATATTTATTGAGAACCTACTATATGCCAGGCACTGTTGTAGGTGCTACACTGATGGCAGTGAACAACCACCACCACCAATCCTTCCCTCCTGGAACTTACATTCTACTGAGAGAGACAAAGAAAGGTAGTATATCATTCATCAGATAATAAATGCTCTAAAGACGTGAATGTGGATGAGGGGACAGACTGCAACAGGTGGAAGCAGTGCCATTTTGTGTAAGGTGGTCTGGGAAAGCCTCTTCAGTAAGGTGGCATTTGAGCAACAGTTTAAGGGAGATGAAAAAAATGAACCATGTCGCTATCCAGTGGAAGAGTACACAAGAAGAGAGAGTTATAACAAGTGCAAAAGCCCGGGTGTGAGATGCCTGAGGCACTGGGCAAATAATAAGGAGGCTAATGCAGCTGAAACACGGGGAGCAAGAGGGCAAATAAGAAGAAATAAGGTCAGAGGGCTAGCCAAGGGCCAAAACCACACAAGATCCTTAGGTCTGCAGGTTTTGTCTGGATTTTATTTAGCAAAAGCACAGGAGCAGGACGGACATGACCTCTTTTTTTCCTTTTTAAAGAATCACTCTAGCTACCAAATGCAGAAGAGGCTGAAGATTAGCAAGGGTGCAGGCAAGATCAGCCGGCACACTAGTCCAGATAGGAGGTGATGGTGTCTTGGCTTAGAGAACAGCTCATGTGGTTAGAAGTAACTGAACCCCAAGTGTGGCTGAAGAGAGGAGCTGCAGGGATTTCTGGACTAACTGGCCAGCACATGGAAGAGCGGAATGAACCATTCACTGAAGTGGAGGATGGATGTGAATCGAGGTTTTCATCATTAGTTCCCTGCTACTTCACAGCTTTTGCATAAATGGAAAGTTAAAAGCTTTACATTAGTGACCACATGCCAACTTGAAACAAAACATATGCTTAATGTAAAAAAAAAAAAAAGTCCTTCCAAAATTCTAATTGAAATATCACATCATAAATGTGCTGAAATGAAAGTTTTAGTTTTTCAAAGCTCCTTGTACAGATGTAATATTTTCCTGTTCATTAATTCAACATGTACTTGCTCAGCATTGTAGGATTACTAAACATAATAATGTGAATCTATCAGTTCCTTAAAGATTCCAGAAAGTTCCAAAGTTTTGTTTTAGTAATAGTAAGTACTTCTAACTTCCATCTTCTACCCTAGAAACTCTTCAGGATCTCCCTCCCTACTAATTTACCTAGATTCGCAAATGATAAGGCAGCTGAAGTTGCACGAAGGAAAACCTACCCAGACTCATGAAACCATCTAAAAAATGGTAAGAAGGAATTTATCTCCCCTTGACCCCTGGGTCAAAGATCCTGGTTTTGTACCAACTAGCAAAGAGGTAACTAAGGCCACACTGGTACTGCCTTCAGAATCAGCCAAAGTCATGGCTGGCAACTGCCCCTCTAAGCCTCCCTCTAGCTACGCTGATTCGGAAAGAATGACACCTTAAATAGTTTGGCAAGAACGAAAGGGCCCTGGCTTTGGGGTACTTGCCACCCTCAGAAGTGACATGCACACAAAGTACAGCAGCTCCTTCAGGCTTAAGCACGGCCACTGCTTCCATACAGTATCACACAGTCCAACACACACCTCCCCTGTGCGTGCTTAGTTATGATTGTTATAGTTTCATATTTTTGTGATTATTTGATTGTCTCCCTCCCCTTTTGGCTACATCTTCTTCCTAGGTTTCAAAGCTTTTCTGATTTCATGACGAGTCAAGAATGTCTACTTCTACCTCACAATAGTCCAACTCTATATCCTACTTCCTCAGGTCCCCTTCCAGGGTCCTAGGTCCCACCTCTTCCTTCCCCAGATCCCTGTTTTCCTCACATGTCTATTTGTGGTATAAGACTCAGCTTTATTTTCCTTTATCCCATTTTATTGCTCCCAAAGTTTTACTTTGAAACCTCTATTACTATTTACCATCCATATTAGCTTCCTTTTTCTTTTCAATTTGGAATATTTACTGGGGTTTTTTATCTTAACCTCCAGGTCCATCTTTTTCTAATTATCTCCAATAGGAATGATATAGTATTCATCCAATTCATGTATCCTGGAATTCTCATGGTTGCCCAATTTTCCATAAACTGATCACTAGATTAATCTATTCATTCATACTCTCAGGTATACACAAAAGAATAGCATCTAAGACTATGTCAGATCTTTATAAGTCCAATAGGTTAAACAAATAAAAACAGACTATTTTCTGACTCATTCAGAACTCTGTCTGCTTAGCATTCCCTCTCCCCAAGGCAGTGCCTGAGTACCCGAGGGTTTAACACCAGGCTATACTATTATCTATTATCTGCAAAGTTTTATGTGTCAGTCATTGGATTTGGCTTTGAAGATACAAAGATATAACACAAACTCAAACTGCTGACAAACCAGTGCCACATACTTAGAAAGAATAGATAACCAAGAGATGTAGAACAGAGCAAATAAACTCTTAGGCAAAATAATCCATTTGGAACGTATCTGGTCAGGGAATATGCTTTGATTTAAACAGTATTCCTTGGGAGAAATAAGGGAGAGACCTGATTCATAATGACCTAATGAGGGAAGGATTCAAAGGACCACACCTAAACTATACCTTCACTAGTGTGATTGAATAGAATCAGTCTTTAGGTGAACAAGCTCTCCTGCTTATACACAGCAATCAGAGCAGGGAAGGATGACGACCAGACTTACTGTCAGGTGTGTACAAAAACACAAATGACTCAATGCCTCTCCCACAGAATGGTTAAAGGTCCTTTTCAAACCAAGGAAACCTTTTCTTTCCAAGCAGAGATACCCTTACTATCAGTGTGTTTCTTAGAATGAATACCATACTATTTCAAAGATCAAAGTGAAATACTTCTCAATCAATAAAATGTTTTGAAATTTGCAATTTTTCCATTCACTAATATTTTACTTCCAACTAGAAATTAGTTACAAAGTAGCTTACCTCTGTCTTTCTTATTAATTTTCCCTCTTCCCCATTTTCCACTTACAATTCTCCATCTTTCTTGAACTTCTTTCTTCCTGACTTTCTGCAAAACACACCTTACCCAGGAGCCCCACTTAAACCAATAAAGGAATAGAATAGATAACTACTCCCTCTGTCAATGTGAAAAGGCAAATTTCTTTAAAACAGTACCTAGCATTTGGTGTTCCCCCCAAGAAAGAAAATGTTAACCTATCTGAAAATGTTACATGTATATATAAGTTACAAAACTAAAGAATTATCATGGAAAACAACAAAATCTCCTACCTTTCAGCACTAAATGCTGATTCTGTGTCAATGTACACAACAGCTCCTCCCAATCCTCCCATGCTGGTGGGTAAGGTGGCCAAAACACTCATCATTATACAAAACTGAGTTTTTCCACAACCTGGTGGGCCTGTAATCTAAAAAAAAAAAATTTTTAAGTTATTTGTGTAAACATAACAAGCTAGTCAAAGCAAAATCCTTTAAGAACTTGCCACAAACACAGTCCAACTAAGCTAGATTCCCAGAGATGTCCACCGTATATAATGAATTAGCTTCTCCCCTATGCAGCTGGATTGGTACTGGCTATGGGCCAACCTTGGGAGAAATGAGAGAGTAGTCATCAAGTCATCCCTTGTGCTCTAGTTCATGGGAAAAACCTTGGTTAAGAAAGGCTGGTGGATTCATTTATACATTCACAACTTGTAGTTCTATACCTTTTCCTCATTAAGACATTTATAGAAAGATCTTGAAAATATTTAAGAGGCTTTAATAATTGGTTTAAGATTTGCTATGAATTGGCCTCTCAGAACAATTTTGTGCTACTCCCCTTAAAAGCTACTTTGATCTTTATTCTTAGGAGTAAAAGTACCAGGGGTGTGATGTATACAATTTACTATCAAATGGTTCAGCAAAAAAGTGTGTGTGTGTGTGTGTGTGTGTGTGTGTGTAGAAAGAGAGATAAAACAAATGTAACAAAGTTCAACAACTGTTGAATCTAAGAGATTCATACTTTGAGATGTATGTTTTGAAACTTTAGTTGGTAGAGAAGTATTTCAAGGTTATAAAATTTGAAATCAAGACAATATAGATGGCAAAAATAGGAAATTAATCACATGTATATTCCAGCCCAACTGGAAGTAGTTAACAAATACTATTTGAATATGTTAAAAATATTCCCTTTAAACATATGTCACATTGGCTGTGGCATCCAAAATTTAAGAACCAAAACACTATCCTTTTTGTGAAAATGACACAAATAATGAATGTTTCTCAATAGGAAGAGGGAAAGGAAGAGGGAAGAAGATAAGAAAATCTCAGGTAGAGATGAAAAAGGTCTGAACTAAAACTGAGACATACTATAGATATAAAGAAACTGTCTCAGATACATCATGAGGTAGAAAGAAGAGATGACCCATGAGTCTAAATCATTAAGGCCAGTGATTCTCAAACTTGAGTGAGCATTAGAATTACCTGGCTACCTTGTCAACCAGCATCTCTGGTTTAGTAGGTCTGAGATGTGGCCTGAAAATTTATATTTCTAGTAAGTTCCTAGGTGATGCTAATGCTGCTCTACACTTTTGAGAACCACTGTTTTGGAATTTAGACTAAAGCTAAACTTCTTTTATCAAGGCTCCATATTAAAAAACAAAAGCTCACAAGTTAAAAACTATGTGCTGATTTATAATCTCAAAAATTGTGATTTACATTTAAGAAAAAATAGTTGCTACTACCAATAATAGTTTGCCAGATAATGAGTGATCAGTGAAAAGGGGTCTCCAAACTTATTTGATTCATACTCTGAAAAACCAAACCAAACAACCAAACAAACAAAAATTTAGTATGGTCCTCCAATATATGCATATTTGTTATATACATACTATTTTATTAATATGTTCTATATGGTATAAAACATACATAAAATAGGGATTTAAAAAATAAAAGATTACAAGCATTAAAAATAGTTTCATATCTTCGTTGTGCGGAAGGCAGTTAGACAGACAGGAGCAAAGCAAAAAATGATGGGCCAGGTACAGAGGGTCACCAGGGAGGAAAGCCTCGGGTGCCTAGCAACAGACAAAACTGGGAAAACAAGGACCTTGCCCACAGGGTGACCTTTCCTTCCCTAGCATATCACTGATCATGTGGTTTAAACCCCCTGACCTTTCATATCTGTCCTGTGGTTCGAACCCTCTCTGACCTTTCCTTGGAGAAAGACAAAGGGACTGAAGAGTGGCCTCATGTGACTCCCACATGGGCCCCTGCATGACCACTCCCTTAAGCATTAACCCCCAGGGATGACATCTAGGCTGCAGTTGTGTTTCAGCTCCAGGCCCAGAAAAGCAGCAAAACCAGACAGAGGGATGCCATGGCTGACATCAGGACTAGATGCAATGACTAATGGCCCCCTCTCCTAGTGCCAAACAATCAGTGGAAACCATGACCCTAAGGGAACACACCTGGAAAGCTGATGAATGTTCCATTGAGATCCTCCCCGGGGCGTCCCAGAAATCCCTGCCTTTGGTGCCTTTGGAGAGCAGATAACAGCCTTCAAGATGAAGAACCCAAAGCGACTGTATCTATGGAAGAACCCAATGCAACCCTCTCTATGGAGGTCGCCCAAGCCTCTCCCCAGCCCCTCCCTCAGGTTCATTTTCTTTGCCTCTCTCTTTCTCCTGAGCTCCAAGGATCCTTCTTTTGCCTCTGTAACTTGTTTCCTGAGCCCATTTCTTCTACAATTCACTTCTTCTACCCTCTGTGACTTTCTAAATAAATTTTCTTTTGTAGTTTTAGTCTCAACTCTGAGTTCTTTCTTAGCCAGAACTCAAGTACCAAGGTCTGGTCTGACTCCACCAGTCTAACACCTGGTGCTGTCTGACCGCCAACAGTTGTACAGGTCTTTTCATGCTCATAAAAACTTATTAATACTTTTAGTGGAGGAATGATAATAATAAAAATAAATGAAATTATATTAAATATTGACTTAAATATTTTGTAATTCAGTGACTGAAATGTCAGGTCCTAAGTTCTGCTTATTTCAGCACTTAATTGTAATGGCTGTACAGTAGAGTAAGGGATAACTGCAAAAATGCAAGGACTGACATTAAAGTAATGTATGCTTTTGTCCTTACTAAATCAGTATTTTCGTTTTTCAATAAATTCCATCAGTTAGTTTTTGTTGAATTTTGGCTAATAAATTTCTGTCTTCTCTCCTATCAATTGTTCTTGCAAAATCAAAAGATATTGCATTTTTACAGTTTTAACAATTGGTTTAAAAATCAACTGAAACTACTGGAAGATTTTCAACAGTATAGAAAATATTATTACAAGTTTTCTGCAGTGTGCAAATAGCAAAGTTTTCACTAGACACACATATCTCTTATACCGAAAATCACATTACAAAAGAAACATTTCCAAGCAGGTACATAAAAAAAACCAACTTTCTCTGTATTTTAGTCTCTGTCTTTAAAAAGGCAATTACTTTCTCACTCTTTGTTAAAACGTCACCTTCACTTTCAAGGGATGGAGTAAGAGTATTCCATTGGTTGGTTGTTTTGTTGTTGTTTTGTTGTTGTTGTTAATAGTTTATTGATTTTTAGAGAAAGGAAAGGAGAGGGGGAGAGAGAAACATCGATCGGCTGCCTCCTGCACACTGCCTACCAGGGATGGAGCTGGCAGCCCAGGCATGTGCCCTGACCCCCAAATGGAACCGGCAACCTTTCGGTGCACTGGACGATGCCCAGCCAACTGAGACACACTGGCCAGGGCTGGTTGATTGGTTTTTAATCTACCTTGAAGTATGTAACATAGCCCCTTGTCATAAAGAAAAGGTCGGCAAATTTGACATATCTTGCCTTTTCATTTTAAAAAAATGCTTCACTCATCTTTAAATTCAATAACTCTTTTACAGTCTCTGCTGGGAGACAGCCAAAGAAGTTCTCATAACTCAGATGAATTTCATAGTCACTCCCCATCTCATTATAGAGTACGACAGAAATGCTATGCTTTACCAGACAGGTTTTTATAAATTAACAACACTGATACCATCTCTAAGCGCTCTTCACACATCTGACATCTAGATAAAAGTTAAATCTCATTATTTTTTCAGGTTTACTTAGTAGGTTAAAACATTTCAACATTAATAATTTTGAGCTTCAAATAGTTTAGCTCTGAACTCTAGCAGCCAAACCACAAAATTTCAAGTTGTGTTCAGTTCCCAGGTTCAGCCCCAATGTGGTTAGAAAGAGAGAACATGCCAAACCAGAATAGTCTAAGTTATTTGCTTCTTGGAAACTCAGAATGAATACAACGTTTACACACAGAAGACACCAGTAAAATACAATTAGCTTCAGATAGTTAGAGCCTGCATTTCAACACTGCCTGAGAAATGTAAAAGAACTGGAAGAAAACAACCAGTAGTGAAGATCACTCAAATATCAACAAGCAAATACAGAGTATTAATAATTGGTTTAATTGGCTTAATAACTGTTTAAAGAGGAAAGAGAATTATTCCTAAGGAAAGAAAGTCTAATTGTACTAGAGTAAAAATGAAGCCTAGTCCTTTTAATCTTAAATGAGATTAAATGTTTGAGATGAATGTGAAACCCAGACCTGTTAGAACCTAAACTCTCACCAAGTTCATTCTCCCCACATTCAGGATAGGGCCACCTTCCAACCCAGTACTTTGCAGAAGACAATTTAAGGACTGCCTGGTTCTGATCTGAGAAAAAAGCATATGAAAACTTCTTTTTTTTCTTTAACAACCACCCCAAACCTCCAGCCCCCAGCCAGCATCTAACTATTTGTCTCCATTTGCTCTACAATTATGTAGAAATATGATTAGGTCTTCAGACCTATAGAATTCATTTTAAAAATAACTAACTCTCTAAATCCTAAAACGAATGAACACAAAACAAACAAATAAAAAGCTAACGATCTCAGGTAGCACATTGCCTTGTAACAGAAACACTGATCTTAAATTACTTTACATCAACATGTGGAAGATTTTCTCTCCACCAGTCCCTCTTATTTCATACTGACAACTGCTGTTTTTAAAGTGAAAGGGAAGGGAGGGGAAAAGAAAAGGCAGGGGAACAAGTCAGGAAGAAAGCAGGAGGACACAGAAATGACAAGGACCCCAAGTTTCACAGCAAAAATAAATACTGAACACTATTAAGGGATATAATCATTTGTTTAACAAGCAATCAACACGTGCCATATGAAAGACTCTGCAAACCCTTTACGGAGAAAGATGTTAAATCAGCAAGTGAGTGAAAAATTGGGAACTATAATCCAATCAAGCACATGTGCTAAACTTCTACATTAGGACAGAGGCCAGACTGTCCAGCCTTTCAGAACACTGGGTAGCAGATGACAGTCAAGGAAGGCCAGTTAGAAATCTCTCCCTAGTTTTCCTGCT